GAGAGAGAGAGAGAGAGAGAGAGAGAGAGAGAGAGAGAGAGAGAGAGATATGGTGGCTGTGTGCCTGTCATCCTAACACCCGGGAGGTTGAGACAGGTAGATTGCTGTGAGTTCGAGTCCAGCCTAGACTACACAGCAAGACCCTGTCTCAGAAAAAAGCAAAAAAACAAAATAGAAGCCAAGCCATGGGGTGAAGAGAAGAGGGTCAGAAGTTCGAGGTCATCCTGAGCTTCAGACCCGGGGTAGACGGTGCAGTGCCTGGTGGATGACAGGCAGCCCGTGCTGGCCTCACGTTCCCAGTCTACAATGACGGAGAGGGAGCCCAAACAGGTACAGGCCTGCAGGGGCAGACGGACCAGAGAGGGCGAGGGCTGTGCTGAGGTCACACAGTGCCACTGTGCGATGGGAGGGAGCAGGGGGTGGCAGAGTCCCGGTGCAGAGGCAGGTGCCCCCGGGGAAGGTCTCCGCCTCGCTGGCTTTGGAAGTCCTCCTGAGCCTCAGTTTCCTTTTGTGGAAATTAGATGGTGCCAAGCATGGCGGTGTCCTAGAAGGTTCAGAAGACCCAGGGCATCCTCTCAACCACACAGTGAGTTCAAGACTAGCCTGAGCTACGCAAGCTGGATCCTGGAATGAGGGGAAGGGACCAAAGTGCTAGAGCTAGCCCACTGGAAACTATTATGGGACTGACTACCCTTAAGCATGAACACAGTTAAAAACTAAATGGTGCAGGCATGCCAGCAAGCAGAGTATATTCATATTCAAGCTGGGAGGCTGGGGAGGCGGCTCAGCAGTGCAGAGCACTGGCTGCTCTTGCAGAGGACCTGGGTTCGGTTCCCAGCACCCACACGGTGGCTCACAACTGTCGGTAACTTCAGCTCTAGGGAACCTGATGCCCTCTTCTGGCCTCCACAGGTGCTGCACACACACACACACACACACACACACACACACACACACACACACACAACACCCAACGCATAAAATAAATATATAAGGTATAAAAGAAAAGGCCCCAAATAACTGTGGGCGGCAGGGTGGGGATTATTGCTTTATTACATTTGAACAAACTATTAAATGTGGGGGTGGTTTGCCTGTGGAGGTCAGAGGACAACTTTTGGAAGTCATTTCTCTCCTCCCACTCTCTGGGTTTGCAGGATCAACCTTGAGTTGTCGGTCTTACATGCAAGGTAACATGCTGGTTACTCCGGAACCAGCCCGATGCATTTATGTATTTTGAGACTGGGTCTCATGACCCAGGCCACCTGAAGTTACCCTTGATCCCCCTGCCTCCACCACAGGGCGTGCTGAGCCTGCAGGGGTGAGCTACCACACCCAGTTATAGCACTGGGAATGTTGGGGTTTGTTTTAACAGGGGGGAGCAGGAACACAGTCTCCTCTCCCACAAATTATGCAGTCAGCTCCCACATTTGGGGAAATTGAGGGGTCAGCACATCCGGATAAGCCTCGCCCTGAGAAATGAAATCCACCTTTGAGGTTGCGCTCACTCCCCTCCCAGGTAAATGCTGTTTGTTTTTTGAGACAGGGTCCCAGGCTGACCTTGAACTTCAGGCCATCCTCCTGTCTCAGCCTCCCAAATTCTGAAATGATACGTGTGAGACAAACACTTTAATTTTTTCTCTCCTTTTGTACATGGTCTCACTGTGTAGCACAGACTCGCCTCCAACTTTTATCCTCCTGCCTCAGTCTCCTGAGTGCTAGGAATTTGAATTCAGGACCCTGGTCTCTTACCTGCAATGACTTCTTTCTTTCTTTCTTTCTTTCTTTCTTTCTTTCTTTCTTTCTTTCTTTCTTTCTTTCTTCCTTCTTTCTTTCTGTCTGTCTTTCTTTCTTTCTATTTTTTCCTCAGTAATAATAATGCAGCCAAGGTGTAACTACAAATCAAACTGCATATATAAATAAAATGCTTCAAACCAGGTTGGTAGCACATGTCCAGCATCCCAGCACTTGGTAGGCTGAGGTAGGAAAGACTCTGTGAGTTCAAGGCTAGCCTGGTCTACCGAGAGTTCCAGGGTAGCCTGGGCTATATAATATGAGCACACCTTTAATCCTAGCATTCGAGAGGCAGAGGCAGGTGGATCTCTGTGAGTTCAAGGCCAGCCTGAGTTCCAGGACAGTCTCCAAAGCTACACAGAGAAACCCTGTCTCGAAAAGCCAATAATAAAAATAATAATAAAAAAATAATAATAACAAAAGTGGGGGCTAGAGAATGTTAAGGGAGGAGTTCTGGGTGGCTTTCTAGGAGACTTGTGGCCCCCAAAGACTCTTCAGGGAAGGTTGGGGTCCCCCACGTGGAACAAGCCTCCCCCCCACCCCAGCCTTCCCGGGACCAGCTCTGACAACTGCAGTTCTCACACTCACCACCAGGGGGCAGATGGTTGTCTTCCTACTCACTCTTAGGGTCTGTCTCTCTGTTCCCACTTTCCAATCCCTCCTACAAGCGTCTCCTAGACGTTGCAGAGACTGAGTGTTACGAAGTGGATGAAGCTTGAAAATGTGACATTTAGTGAAAGGAGCAAGACACAAAAGGTCACATCATACAATTTGTTTTCTACGGAATGTTCAAAAGAAGGAACTCCACCGAGAAATACCAGCCCGGGATTCCTGGTTGCCCAGGGCTTTGGGAAGGGCCAGAGAGATGGCTGTCAGAGTCTGCGCGTTCTCTTCAAGTTGATGGAGACGTTCTGGATTCAGATGCTGGCGCCTTCCGCTACAGCCCTGTGAGTGCACCAGGACCCACTAAATTGCAGGACATAAAAGGGTGAACTTGGGGCTGGACAGAGGGCTCAGCGGTTGAGAGCACAGGCCGCTCTTGCAGAGGACCCGGGTTCAATTCCCAGCGCACACACAGCGGTGGACAACCATCTGTAACTTCAGTTCCAGGGGATCTGTCTCCTTCTAGCCTGTTTGGGCATTGCATGCGTCTCATGCACAGACATACATACATGTAGTTACTCACACTCATTATAAATAAATATTATACTTTTACAAAATGTCAGATTCTACACAGAGAGAACCTGTCTTGGGGAGTCAGATTCACTGCATCCATGCTGGATTGGGCGAGTCAGGGAATCGGTAAAGGAGACAGATATGAACTGGGAAACAGTACCATGGGAGAGCACATGATCAGCTTGCACAGGGCCCTGAATTGGACTCCAGCACCCCCACCCCAACCAAGCACACACAAGGAAGGGTCGGGCATGGTGGCACACGCCTTTAACCCCAGCACTTGGGAGGCAGGATCTCTGGGAGTTTGAGGCCAGCCTGGGCTACACAGTGAGACCCTGTCTGAAGAAGAAGAAGAAGAAGAAGAAGAAGAAGAAGAAGAAGAAGAAGAAGAAGAAGAAGAAGAAGAAGAAGAAGAAGAAGAAGAAGAAAAGGAGACAGACACATCAGCTGGTGGGATGTACTGGTGGGACTTGACAGGGCACTGCCAGGTCCCGGGGAGACTGTCCCCCAGCAGGGCAGAGGAGGAGGGCACAGCCTTGCACAGACGCTGTTAGGCAGAGAACTACATTTTTAACGCCACACCAGAGCTATCCCGCTGGGTCCCCAGGCCCAGCCTCTGGGACAAGCGGGGTTCCCTCTGAGCCCTGCCCTCTGAGCAGGGGTTGAGACCCCATCCAGGGCTCCTTTACTCTAGAGCGCAGCTGTGGGCCCCTCTCCAGCTCAGGGTGTCTCCCCCGGGTACACAGGATGGTGTTGTTACCTTGGGAGGCGTGAAAAGCAGGCAGAAGGGCGGGCAGATTCCAGCAAAGCTCGGAGGGGGGGGGTGAAGGGTGGGGACAGGGGGCTGTGGCCCTTGTCACAGCAGGGCCCAACCACAGCCTCGCTCAGAAGGGCAGACAGATAATGGGGCCTTCCAGCCCCTGGCCCCAGAGAGGGAGGGGCTTCCTGACAGGAAATTGTCCTCCTCCAAGCCCCCCCTCCTCAGATCCAAGCTCTCAGCAGTCCTGGCCCAAGTAGTCTGGTGACTGGACAGCAAGAGGGGACAGAGGGACAGGCACGGACAGAAGACAGGAGGTGAGTGTCTGGGGTGAAAAGCGCACACCCCCAAGTTCTTCCGAGGACGGGTGCCTCATCAGAACCCAGAACCCTGAAGGCAGGAGGGCTGGGTGGGCAGAGGGAGGCTATGGCTGAGTTCGGAGGCTGCTGCGGGAGAGGCAGAAGGCGGAGTGCAGGCGAGGCCTGGAGGACTCTGGGTTCCAGAGAGGGCGAAGGACCCATAGAGATCTGGGGACCACTGGCGGAGGAGGAGGGAGAGAGGAGATGTTCCGTCTGATGCACTCTGATGGGGAGGCACAGCGGGGATCCAGCGCTTGCTGCCTCCCAAGAGATGAGGGACGCAGCACCCAGAAAACCGGTACAGCCGCACACCTGCAGTCCCGGCATTAGGGAGGCTGAGGCAGGAGGTTGGCCAGTTTGGATCACATAGTGACTTCCAGCCAGCTTGGATTAGAGATCTCGGCTGTCTGAATAAATAAATACATAAAAAGGCCAGGGCTGTCGAGACGGCTCAGCTTGTAAAGGTGCCTGCTGCCCCCCGAGGAACTGGATTCCGTTTCAGAGACGCACAAGGTCTAAAGAGAGCTGACTATCGCAAGTTTACATCAGACCTCCACACACATAGACCATGACACGTGTGCACGCATCACACACAAAATAAATAAATTAGTAAATAAAATTAGCCGGGCGGTGGTGGCACATGCCTTTAATCCCAGCACTCGGGAGGCAGAGCCAGGTGGATCTCTGTGAGTTCGAGGCCAGCCTGGGATACAGAGTGAGTTCCAGGAAAGGCTTCAAAGCTTCACAGAGAAACTCTGTCTCAAAAAACCTAGATAGATAGATAGATAGATAGATAGATAGATAGATAGATAAAATGAGAGGGGGTAGGCGAGGCAGGATTGGACTTGGAGGCTTCCCTCTGGTGATGGGATCAAGGTCTGCAATGTGGCTGTCAGTTAGAGTCAGGCTTAAGGACTTCTAAAAAACATCTTTTCAGCCAGGCTGCAGTGGTGCATGCCTTTAATCCCAGCACTCGGAAGGCAGAGGCAGGTGGATCTCTGTGAGTTTGAGGCCAGCCTGGTCTACAGAGTGAGTTCCAAGACAGTCAGGGCTACACAGAGAAATCCTGTCTTGAGAAACAAAAATAAATAAATAATTATTTTTCTCAGTCTCATGTAGCCCAGGTTGGCCTCAAACTCTTATATGCCCAAGGATGGTATTGACGCTCTGGCCCTCTGCTTCCGTGGCCAGAGAGCCTGGATTATAGGCCTGCACCGCCAATACTCTCCTGTGCTGGGCTGGGAATCTGGGATTTTGTGCAAGCCCCGGAGTCTGCCGGCTGCACCACTGAGCCACATCCCTTGCCTTGGCTTTTGATGTTTTGACCTCACATGCCTCAGATAGACCTCCTGCCTCTACCTCCCGAGTGCCAAGATTAAAGGCATGCTCTTACCACACCAGGTTTGCGGGTTTGTCTGTACACAGGGTCTCAAAAGCGTGTGGTCCTCCCGCCCCAGCCTCCCGGGCAGGCGCTGGCCACCATACCCAGCTCGCTGCTGAGGGCTGGATAGTGTCAGGATTCCTAAGGAGGGTTTGGGAAAAGGCTGGCAGTGAGGAAGAGGAGGAGGGGCCGGGAGGGGGAAACGCTGGTGGCCTAGACATCCTGCAGAACCCGGAGGCTGGGGGCTTGAGCGCGCGGCTCGGAAGTGAGTCAGGGGCCTGGGCACCGGGAGGCAGCGGAGGGCGTTGGAGGGGGCAGGATGTCGGAGCCAGGTTGCCGAGGGAGGTGTCGGAGCCAGGAAGGGGAAAGAGGTGGCGGGGGAGAGGGGGGAGGTTTGGGGTAAATGCTGCTGCCAGTTTGGGAATGTGCTGGGAATATGCTGGGAAGAGTTTGAGGGGTACCTGGGAGGCGTTAGACCGATTAACTTTCCTTTAACTTTCCGTTGGAGTGAGCGGCCAGTCAAGTCTGGGTATTGCTAGGCTCGGTTGGAACCAGCAGTTACAGGGCATAGAAGTAGTTTTGGGGGATGGGAGCGCCATCACTGGGAGGGATGGAGCCACTTTTCATTAACTTGTTTGCGTGCGTGCGTGTCCGGCGCTCACGTGCCACGGTGCGTGCGCACGTGCAGGCCAGAAGACAACTTTTAGTGGTCCATTCCCTCCTTCCACCACATGGATAGGAGGCGTCCAATTCAGGCTTGGTGGCAAGTGCCTCTACCCACCGGGCCACCCCACTGGCCCTGGAACCACTTTTGGGTGAGGCATGCGGAGCCTTCCGGAAGAGGGGAGACTAATAAATCCATGTGTGAATAGTGTGTGCCCGTGGGGGGCGTGTATCAATTTTACACCACCATGGGGGCTCCAAGCAAGGGGTTGCTATGGTGACCGCCTCATTCGGGGATAGGGGCCGTGGAAACTGGAGGCTGTCTGGAAACCGGAGGGCTCCAAAGCATCAGTGGGGGGGTTACGGGCTGTTTAGGGTTAGAGCCTGTTAGTTCGGTCTCCTACTACAAGAACGGACACTTTACCCACAGCCGCAGCCTCTCTCCAAGGTGTCCCGGCCACGGGTCCACAGCTCCGCAGTCTCCCCCTTCACGCACTTGCTCGGTTCAAAACCACCTCTGGGGTCTAGCCCGTGGGGAGAAAGAAAATGAATATCCAGTGGTTTATTTACCCAATCTTGTCTGGAATATTAGGCAGCCCTTGAAACAAGGGAACCAGGGCAGTGCGACTATACCTCAGTGAACGTCACGAGTTCATGACACAGCAAAAGAAAAAGGAAGTACTGAGTTGCAAAACACAGACATGCAACGCCTCTTTTTTTTAATTTTGATTTTATCTTATGTGTATTCACGTTCTGCCTACATGCATGTCAATACACCACTTGTGTGCCTGGTGCCCTCAGAGGCCAAAATAGGGGCATTGGATCCCCTAGGGATGGAGTTTCAGACGGTTGTGAGCTGCCATGTGGGTGCTGGGGATCGAACTCAGATCCTCAGCCAGGGCTCTTGACCACTGAGCCAACCCCTTGGCAGCCTCTCCAGCTTTTATTATTTCGTGAGACAGGGTCTCACTCTGCATTCCAGGCTATCTGGGAGCTCACTGTGTGGCCCTGGCTGGCTTTGAACTCAGGGTGACAGTTCATCTCAGCCTTCCGAGCTCTGAGATTACATGTGAGCGGTCACACTGGATTGTTCCTTTTGTTTTTAATATTTTTCTAAATATTATGTGGTTTTTTTTTAATGGTGGTAGAGATGGAATCCAGGGACTCATGCATGCTAGGAGAGTGCTCTACCATTGAGGCACATCCTTTGCCCTGGTAGGGTGCGTTATCTTGTTTTTTTATTTTAGATGGAGTCTATGTAGTGAGGTTCTAGTTGGCTTGAACTATATAGCCCACAATATAGTCCAGGCTGGCTTCAAGCCCACAGAGATTTGTCCGCCTCTGCCATCTTTGCTGAGCCTGAAGGGTGCATTTTACCAAAAAAGAAAAAAGAAAGAAAAGGGGCCCTTGAGAAGTCTCAGCGGGTAAAGGCACTTGCAGCCAATCCTGAGGACCTGAGTTCAATCCCCAGGACCCACATTAGAAGGAGAGAACTGACTTCCTCTTAAACGCTGTGGCACACTGGTGGTCGTGTTCAAGCACACACAATACGCATAAAGTTCAAATGATGACTCGGGGCTGAGGTATATCTCAGTGCTGGAGCAGGGGCCCTGCACTTACCAGGCCCCTGAGTCCTATGCACAATACTGAAAATAAGGTAAAATAAAAATGCCTCCCATAGCTCGCTAGTTCCCTTGGGAAACATTCCAAGTCCCTTGTCACAGAGTTCAGGTCCTGTGTGCCCTGCTCCTCATGACCTCCTCCCCCCCAAGGAATGAACTGTCCACCTCCTTCCTTCCTTTACTTCCTGTTAGCACCCATTCCAGAGTGCCTGGCCCATGCTCTGAGCCAGGGACGCAGCAGTGACTGACACGGGCCCAGCCCCGCTGTCCCCAGGCTCTCAGTCCAGATGCAGACCTGTCCCCAGACAGGGACAACCATAGAGGGAACCATAGGGAGTCCTGGGGTAACAAGAAACCCAAGGGTCAGGAGGACTTCCTGGAGGAGGCAGCCTTGGGACTGAGATCTAAAGCATGGAGACCTGGCTCCATGTGGGGGAACACGTAGACACAAGCCCAGAGACAAGGAACCAGGAGATTTATTAGCTCCGGTGAGTGCGCAGTCTGCAGACCCCGCAGCTCTGATGAGAGGTCTGAACTTCGTGCCCATGGCACTGAGGAGCCGTGGAAGGTTCGGGAGAGGAAGGATCAGGCTTATACTACGTGGAAGTCTTCAAAGCAGAGCTGCCATTGCCAAGAAGCTGAAAGGGCATGGTGGTGCACCACTGTAATCCAGGAAGCGGAGGCAGGAGGATCGGAATTCAAGGCCAACCTGTGCTACATGATTTCGGCCTCAAAAGTAAAATAAGCTTGGTGCAGTGGCTCACAGCTGGAGGCACACTTAGGGGACAGAGGCAGGAGGATCACCTCAAGTTTGAGGCCATCCTAAGCTACCTACTAAGTTTCGGGTCAGCCTGTACTTCAGTCTGAAGAAAACCCGAGAAGGGGCAGAGAAGAGGTCATAGGTTCCAGCTGCGAAGGGGGGATAGGAGGGAAAAGGATGGAGACTTAGAGAAGGACAGGACTCAGGACAGTGTGAACCTTGGGTCACAGCTGTGTCCCACTGCCTGCAAGAGTGGATCCCAAGACCTACTAAGTTTCTTGTTTTATGGCAGAGTATCACACCCAGAGCCTTGTGAATGCTGGGCAGGGGCTCTATCACTGAACCACACCCCAGCCCTCACTGGGGGATTCTAGGCAGGGACTCTACCACTGAGCCACACCCCCAGCCCCTCACTGGGGGATTCTAGGCAGGGGCTCTACCACTGAGCCACACCTCCATTATAGTTTTGGCTTGGTTTGGTTTTGCTTCTAGTTGTTTGCTTGTGTGTTTTGAGACTGGGTTTCATCTAGTCTTGCTGGCCTGCAACTCTCTATGTAGACAGACCCTGCTGCTGCTGAACAGGTGTCCATCCTCCGGTTTCTGTCTCCAGAGTGCTGGGGTTATAGGGGTGTGTCACCACATCCATCTCTTTTATCTTCTTAATATCGTCAGCTTTGTGTGTGTGTGTGTGTGTGTGTGTGTGTGTGTGTGAGAGAGAGAGAGAGAGAGAGAGAGAGAGAGAGAGAGAGAGAGAGAGAGAATGAGTGGGAGGGAGGGAGGGTTTTCTGTAGTTTAGTTCAAGCTGCCCTAAAAACTTTAGTGTAGCTAAGACTGGCTTTGAACTCCCGACCCTCCACCTCCCCGGGGCTGGGATTACCTAGGGTGGCTGCCACATGCGGCTTCGTCTTCGCTGTTCTGAGATCAGATGCCATTAGACATCCCTGGAACTCTCAATTCTCCTGCCTCAGCCCCATATGCTGGAATTGAAGGTGGGTCAGGATGCCTGGCTTGGAGCCTCCAAGTATCCAGACCTGTGCCTGGCCCCTTCTAATCAAAGCCCTCAGCACACAGGGACGCCGTCACCAACACCACCTCGTTCGTTATTTTCTGCAGGTGCCAGCCTGTCAAAATGCCAATCCTGAAGAGTCTGGGGGTGGGAGACCCCAAGGTGCCGCGGGCAGGGACTCTGCCCCTGCGGTCCTCTCGCAACCCCTTTGAAGACGCTCCAGCGCTGGAAGAAGAGGCCGGGGAGCCGGGGACACTGCCCAATGGGACATCGTGTGGCCGGCGGGCCACGCTGGAGAAGCTGGCCGGTCTGGCCCACTTCCGACTGGGCTGGACCTCGGGCCGACGGGCAGGCAGCCCCGGGGACGGGCAAGCCCGCTCTTTCTTGGGCCGTGTGCTGGCACCGGGTATACGGAGGAGCTCAGCCGATTTTGGCCTCCTGACCCGCTTTCAGGGGTTCCGAACCCATGGCGATGAGGAGCCAACTGGAGAGGCGGCTCGAAGACTGGCTTTCCTGAGACTCGGGCGTGGGCCCAAGCCCCGGCGGGCATCCCTGGCAGAGAGAGTGGTACCTGCGGGCGAGGCGGCCCCTGAGCCCCCACCCAAAGTCCCGGAGCCCCCAAAGATGAAGGAACCACTATCGGGTGAGTGAGTGGGGACCCTCGATGCAGACCCGGGGGCGGGGGGAGTGCGCTCACTGTATCCATCAACCGTAGAGGGGGCGTCCCCCATCTTTCTACCTAATCTCATGCCAGCCTTCATCTGTGACACCATCTCAAGTCACACAGCCCACACCCAGCCATCCTTCCCTGAAGTCCGTATTTGGGTCAGCAAGATGGCTCAGTAGGTTCAGGTGCTTACTGCACTAGCCTGAGGCGTAAGTTGGATCCCTGGAACCCTCATAAAGGTAGAGAGAATGGAGTCCTCAGAGTTTTCCTATGACCCCCCCCCATGCACCTTCCCCAACACACATATACAATCATAAATAAATAAATTATTATTAAGAAATCACATAAGCCGGCCGGGCAGTGGTGGCGTATGCCTTTAATCCCAGCACTTGGGGGCAGAGCCAGGTAGATCTCTGTGAGTTTGAGGCCAGCCTGGTCTACATTTCCTGGAGCAAGATCCAGGACAGGCACAAAACTACACAGAGAAACTTTGTCTCAAAGAAACAAAAAGAAAGAAAGAAAGAAAATCACATAAGCAAAGGAGGAGGAGAGAGAGAAGAAAAGAAAGAAAAGGGGCCAGTGAGATGGCTCTGCCCACCAAAGCACTTACGGCCAAGCCTGATGACCTGAGTTTGGTCTCATGGTGGAAGGGGGCATTGACTTTCCAGGTTGACCTCTGACCCTGACATGGGCACACACACACACACACACACACACACACACACACACACACACACACTAAATAAATGTGTGCAACTGCAAAGGCCATTTTCAACCTCTCGTGTCCACATCCGACACCAAATAAAAGCCCAGGTTGCATGCCTCATGTTCCAGAACTCTGTGCACGCGGGCCCTGTTCCCCGATACCCCAGCCCAGCTCGCCTGGCCCTGAGCTCTGCCCCACCCCCACCCCAGCCCTAGCTCAGGTTGTGCAGCCTCATTCCTTCGGGACCCCACCCCCACCCTCCACCTTCCACTTCAATGTCCTGTCCAGGCTTGTTTCTCCAAAACACCCGCCCCAGCCGCTCACCCCCACCCCCACCCCCGTCCCGCAGCACCTGGGTTACCTCCTACCGCCACTTTAGAGAGTAGAGGTAGTCAGTTCTGCACTGCACCCAACAGGTGCCTGTAGGGGACCCCTCCATGCCTCTTCCCAGCTCTGGCTGGTTGCTGGGAATCTGGACGCCTTGGAATCGTGGGCTCATCCTTCTAATCTTCCACCCCTGTGTGGAATTGTCCCTGTAGCTCTTCTCATTCCCCTCTCTGTCTCTGTCTCTGTCTCTCTCTGTCTCTCTCTGTCTCTCTCTGTCTCTCTCTGTCTCTCTCTGTCTCTCTCTCTCTCTCTCTCTCTCTCTCTCTCTCTCTCTGTGTGTGTGTGTGTGTGACAACAATTTGCAAGAGCCAATTCTCTCCTCCCACCATGTGGGTCCAGGGGATCAAACTCACTTTGGCAGGCTTGGCAGCAAGCACCTCTGCCTGCTGAGCCGTCTCCCTACCCTCGATTTTCTGTTCCTAAGAACACCAGCCTTTGGCTTAGGACCTATGTGCCCATGGTGTCCAGGAAGGCTGTATTTCTACCTGAGGTCACACTTGCAATACTGGAAGACTAGAAGCCACATCTTGGTTGAGGGGACACAGCCAACCCGTAATACCAACCCTCTCCATCCTCAACCCCACTCCCACGCCATGCTCCAGGGCTTCCTCAGCGTTCCTCTCTTCCTGACCTGTTCTCAGGCTGTTCTCAATTCCGGGGTCTGTGGGGCACCTTAGCCGGAAAAGCCAGGAGACCCGAACTCCATACCCAGAACCCAGGGAAAGATGAAAGGAAGAAGCCAGCCCACAAAGCTGCCCTCCGACCATACTCACACCCGGGTGTGTGCGCCCCCCCATCATATACACACTTACAAACAATAATAATGAATGAATAAGGGCTGGAGAGACAGCTCAACCATTAAAGGCTAGGCTCACAACCAAAAATATAAATGGACAAATTCAATTATTTTCCTTTCCTTTTTCAGGAACCCATGGCTTTCTACCCTTTCGTATTTGGGGTTTTTTTGTTTGTTTGTTTGGTTTTTTTTTTTTTGGGGTTTTTTTTTTTTTGGATTTATTATTGTTATTTTATGAGCTTGCCTGCATGTATGTATGTGCACCATGTGTGTGCAGTGCCCCCAGAGGCCAGAAGAGGGCACTGGATCCCCTGGACCTTGAGTTGTGAGCCACCATGTGGGTCCTGGGAACCGAACCTGGGTCCTCTGCTCTTCCAGTGGTCTCTCCAGCCACTGTATGGTTTTTGAGAAGGTCTCACTATGTAGCCCTGGCTGGCCTGGAAATGTGTGAATGAGGCTCGCCTCCAACTCAAGGGCAATCCTCCTGCCTCTGCCTCCTGAGTCCTGGGATTGCAGGTGTATGCCACCACACTTGGCTCTTTCTTTTCCCCTCCTAATTTTGAGACAAGGTCTGCAAAGTAGTCCAGGCTAGCCTTGAATTTAGGTTCCCTTCTGCGTCAGCCTCCCCGGTAGATAGGATTATGTCTGTCTCATTGGGCCTGGCTTTCTTGTTCCGTCGGCAAATCCCAATGCCAAGCTCCCTCCGATGCTAAAATGCCCTCCACCCCACTCAGCCTTCTTCCCTACCCCCCAAACTCTGTCGCCCCCCCCAGCCCTGTGCCAACCCTTCTTAGTCCAGCCCCATCCCCCACTTCACGCTTCAGAGTCAGGGGACCTTCCCGGAGCCTCCTCTGTCCTCTGATGCCCTCCACATCCTGGACAGAGGCTATTTCAGCCCCGTCTCCCTGGGGACTGGGAGAGCACAGCGCAGAGAGGTGAGGAGGGGGTGACTGGAGCCCCCGCCTTCTGGAAACGGATGGGCAGAAATAGCGCTGCTCAGGAAATAGCTTCTCTGCCAGGGAGGAAGCGGAGGGGGGGGGAGGTGTTGAGGGTAACTCTTGGCCAACGGGACCCTCCTCCCCCTTGGCCTCTACTTCAGGCCTCTCAAGCCTCTGACTCCCCTTTCTGCCGTGGGTGCCTCCTGTGTAGAGCGTGGCCTTACCCTCACAGCCATCCTACCCCAAAGACCCTTTTCTGCTCTCCACAACCTGCCGCTGCCCAGCCTGCCCCTTGCCCCCTCTACGGCTATCTCCATCAATTACTTACCTGGCTCTGAACACATCTCTCACCCGCACAAGCCGCGGCCCCTGCCCCGTCCCAGCCCCTTCCTACAAACCCATGTTTTTTCCTTTCTCTGACCTTCTTGTACCTGAACATCCATCCATCCTTCACCGCTTTCTCTAACTGTCCCCTTCTCCAGCCGCTCCCAAACTCTCTCATCTCCTGCTTCCTTCCTCCTTATATTCCTCTCTGTGCCGCTCAGCCTCGCCTGGAGCTCAGGATAGCCCGGGATAGCCTGGAACCCAAGGGCACTCACTCCTCCCGCCTCGGCCTCCCAAGTGCGAGGATGGCAGATGAGAGACCACACCACCCGCGGGCAGGTTCCTCTCCAAAGCTCCTGGCCCCAAGTCTTCCATCTTCCTTCCCAATCGCTGCTTCCCCAATTCCTTCCCTCCTTTTGGTCCTTTCTGAGGACTCATTACTGACTCCTTTTTATTTTTATTTATTTATTTTTTGAGACAGAGACTCATGTATCTCAGAAATGGCCTCAAATTGAACTATCTTTTAAATTAACTTATTATGTGTATATGCTTTGCATGTATTTCTGTGCACTATGTGTGCTAAAGCGGCCAGAAGAGGGGATCGGATCCCCCTCCAACCCTGAGACCTTGATCCTTGTGCATCCACTTCCCCAGTGCTGGGATTATAGGCAGTGCTGCGAGGCACCCCACCCCCTACTCCCCCACCCCCACCCCGCGGAGGACAGAGAACAATTTGCAGTCATCAGCTGCACCATGCGGGTCCTGAGGATGGAACTCAGGTCGTCCAACTTGGCAGCAGGCACCTTTGCCCACGGAGCCATCTCCTCGAACTCACAGAGATCCGCCTGGCTCTGCCTCCCGAGTGCTGGGATGAAAGGCGCGCGCCACCACCGCCCGGCTCAGGCTGCTCTCTTGAGTGCAATTGCTGATGTTAAGGGCGAGTGTCACCAAGGTTGACAGCCACACTCACGCTCTCATTTGGGGGAAACTAGTGGTCCAGTCCCGAGCCCTGACACCTTCTCCGTATCCCTGCCCCCTCTCATTTTGGGTGTCCCGCTCCCTGACTCTCCCCTCATCCCCCACTCTCTCATTGTGCGGGTCCTGGGGGCACCCGCCCCGCTTCCTAACACCCCCCTCTCTCTCCCGAACCCCTCCACAGTGCTGGAGATCCTGGGCCTGATCCAGAAGCGCGAGCTGGCGCGGGCGGACGAGCACATCCTGGAGCTGGAGGCGGAGGCGCCGGCGGAGGCCGA